GTGGAGTGAGCGGGGCGTTCTGGGGGGGTGTAGATCCTGCTTTCTAAAATTTGATATTTTACCTCTGTTGCCACACTGCCAGATCATTAATTTCCTTAAAGCATCTCCCTTACAATAAAGACTTTACAGAGCTGAGTGATGAGTCACACCCATGACAGGCAACTTTCAGTGAAATTAGCCTGTAATTAAAACCCAAAAGTTAACCCATTACATTTGACAGCAATTCCCTACCTTGTACTCTTGGGCAGCCTCCTCTATGGGAACCACCGTGTGAATGCGGTGAGCCCGGGATCTGTCGCACACCACACAGATGGGGGTTTCATCCTCTTCACAGAACAGTTTCAGAGCCTCCTGGTGTATCTCACACACCCCATCCGCTCCTGCTCCTTTTGCTGCTTGGAAACTCAGCTGCTTGGTGATTTCTATGATATTTGCCAGCTGCCTGTTGGGCCTGAGATTTCTCTGTTGCAGAGTTTCTCTGCACTGAGGGCAGGAGGCGGCTGTATCGGATCCCTCCCAGCACTGGCTGATGCAGGCTCGGCAGAAATTGTGCCCACACTCCAGAGTGACAGGTTCTGTGAAATACTCCTGACAGACGGGACATGTAGCTTCCTCCTGGAGACTTTCCACGGGGTTCTCTGCAGCCATGGCTCCCTCTGGGCAGTGGATCAGGGTTAGTTTCAATTTCCTGAATTCACACTATGCCCCACCTGCAGCACCAAGGGGGTGTTTCCTTTTCTGAAAGTGACTCGTGCTGTTTCCTGAGCAGGAACCACACAGCCAATTTCACCCCTGGAGGCTTTAGTGAAAAAATGTACAGTCACACCTGTGACAGGTAACTTTCAATGAAATTAGCTTGTAATTAAAACCCAAAGGAGCTCCTTGCCTGCAATCAGCCCCTGTGCTGGTGTGGAGGGTCACTGAGGCAGCCTCCTGTGAGGATGAGCCTGCAGTAGCTGTGTGTTTAAGGCGGAATAGTCAGGCTTGGCAGAATTTTTTTTTATAACATATAATTTTGACCATGTTTATTTTAAGCAATTTTTATATTTATTGATTTAAACTTTCACAGTTGCACAACAATCTGGCTTTTAAGCATTTCATTCCAATTAAAATTTTCAC